GCCGTGGTTGTAGGACTGTCAGACTTACAGAAGTACACGGCCAAGGACTCCGATTCTCTTATCAAATTCAAGAGATCCTCCCCCTCCAAATCCTCGATTACCTCTCCGGACGGATCCTTCTGTGTCATCAACCATTGCAAAATCTGATCCTCGTCGTACAGATCGCCTTACAGTTAAATTGAAAATTTTTATTAAGTTAGCAAATCAGAGGATATCAGTTTTGCGCGTGAAGATTGTATCGTATACCTGCGTAAATGACTGGTTCCTTCGAAGTCATTTTAAAGAACAGTATAGCGGGCAACGCGAAGACTCCGTACTGTTTGGATAATTGTTTGTCGTCGATCTTCACGAATTTGATTCCTGCGCCATCAGCTTCGTCGTCGATATGCTCGATTTCCACCAACACCCTGCCACACTGTTTGCAGTCGTTGCTGTCTAAACATACGCGCGCCACCGCGTTCGACACGCTCGAAAGTCTCATTTTTTAACGACAATTACGTCTATTCTATTCTATCCCTGTCCAAGTTTCATTTTCACAATGCACGGAAATATAAATTTTCCGAGTTGTGAAATTCGCGCGTTTTGTATTGCCAAATTTTCTTAATAAGATCCCCAATTTTAGGAGTGCCTTTTAAAATTGCTCAAATTTAAATTTAGAAAAGCGGCGACTTATCTTTTCAAATAACTCCAAGATTTTCACCCAAGTTTCATTTCTCTAACGCATGGAAATATAAATTTCCAAAGTAATAGAATTCGTGTCTTTTGTATTGTCAAATTTTCTTAATAAGATCCTCAATTTTAGGAGTGCCTTTTAAAATTATTCAAATTAAAATAAAAAGAAAAAAAAAGTGGTGATTCATTTTCTCGAACAATTCTAAGAGAATTCCCTTTAAAAACGATCTCCTCTTCAAACTCGATACTCACAGAAGAACACTGCCAGGTAATCAGTGGTCTGTCTGATTTTATGGAACATCTTTTTATTAATTCTCTCGATGTGATCGGTCAGTTCCATATTCTCAGGATTGGTCAGCCAATCGAGAATCTCCTCCTCGTCGTCGATGTCCCCGTCGTAATTGATGTTCTTGCCCTTGCGGAAGTACGTGATACCAGGCGGATTCCGGAAGCCGTATTTCTTCGCCATCAATCGATCCTTCATCCTGACGATTTTTATACCGTACTCGGCAGCCTCGTCGTCGATCAGTTCGACGTGCCTGAGCACTCTAGGACTCTCTGGGTCCTCTTCCTTGTCTACAGAAGCCAGATTTTCTCTTTCGTTTCAAAACTCTCTCTCTTTTCGTTTTTCACACGTTCGGTGTAAGCTTTGTAATTATCTCTAATTCTTCTTAGCGAAATAAATAAATAAATAAATAGAGTTTAGGCGACACCAACCCCTCGAGCGTTCGTTTCACTGTGAAGTTTAACTATAAATATGGTAATCACGTGGCAAATACAAGGGGTGATACGATTTTAGAAAAATTATCATCTCAACAACTTGTCGCGGTGTATTTAGAGAAATCTATATCGATCGAATTTTCATTACACCTCTGTCGATTATGCAACGAGTCTTACTTACCCCAAAGTAATTCAGTTCGAAAGAAAGAAATCGAGGAATTATGTGACTTACTGTGAAGAATCTCAACGATTCTCGTGAAAGGTTCTTTCTCTTTTCTATCGGGAAAAATTGAAACATGTCTTACAGAAAACGACAGCCAGGAATTCTTTCGTCTCGATATATTTGGTCAGGGTGTCACGATCGATCTCTTCGATGCTCTCGTCCGTCTTCTGCTTCACCATCCAATCGAGAACCTCGCTCTCGTCGAGTAGATTACCTAAGTTATCACAAGTTTGCTCTAAGAACGTGCTTTCACAACCCCTTTCTAACATTCTCATAAAACATTGCATAAAAAGAAAGAAAAAGAAATACCAAGTGCTAACTAAGCTTTCGTCTTTGCGTTCGTTCGTTAAGAATCTGGAATGGCCATTCGTTTCCTTCTTTTCAAGTGAACCCTGGAGATTTCTAGACGGTTTAAAGAAAACTTACCCTGGTGGCGAGAAGTTTCAGCAATCGTGGTCGAAAGGGTCGAAAAGAGAAATCTGATAAATCGTGTCGCTCGTGTGTGAATAATGCCACGATTTTATTTCCTATCTACAATGTTATGAGCGATGACTGTGTAGCTGGAGTATCGTGAATAGTGTTCGTCGAGTGAAGGCAACGTTCGACAAGAGAAACGCATCTTCTTTCTCCTTTAACGTACAGGAGATACGAGTGAAAAAAAGAGAGAGAGAGAGAGAAAAAAAAAAGAGCGTC